CGAAATTTTTATTAATAAAAAATTTTAATATTCTAAACACGATTGCATTTCATTTAAGTATTTATGCATGTCGAAATGAAAAAGACAGAGAATTTTTTTGGGAAACTCTTTAACTGTATAAATGAAAAACTAAAAGTCTAATACTTATGGAGCACTTTATTATAGTAGTCGTATAACAGTTTATATTTGCTTAAAATTGATATGAAATTTAAATAAAAATTGGAAACTAATCTCAAAATTAATCATTTTTTTTTTTTAAATAAAAGGTAAGTAATTTAAGAATTATTAAAAAAAAAAAACAATTTAAATGCTATTTTAATTGTTTTTAGAATGTATAACACTGCAAGAATTATATTTTATATAAGAATACTTGGCGAAAATGTGATATGTATTACAAATTTATCATAACGCCATATGTAAATTTCACAATAATTTTGGAACTACGAGTATCTACTTTCATTTATATGTGATATTATTTTTTTATAGTATTATTAATAATAGCATTTGGTCCAATTTTAGTTCTACATAAAATCGAATGCATTTTCTTAATTAGATCTTAAGTATATATATAAAAATTTTACTATTTTAGAAATTATGCACACGGAAATTTGAGATTTGTGGATTAAGAATGGTTCGCTAGTGCTAAATCTGGTTTAAATAAATTCCAAGGCAATCAATCAAATTGTATTTTTCCAGAATAAAAATTTCACAAAAATATATGAGAAAATTATAACCAACTTTTCAACTAGCTTTTTAACGATTTCTATTTTGAGAGTTAAAATAGTTCCGACTACGAGTATAACTACAGCCGATAGTTTCTTCTAAATAAGTATACTCGTATTTATAATTTTAAATCAATAAAAAACTGAACCAAATTCAGTTGCCAATTTTTTAGAAAATTAACAAAGAATCACATTTCTTTAGTGAATAGTGAATAGTGGTATCTTTGTGTATATATAACAATATGTATATAATTATAACACATTAATTAAAGGAATAAATTTTAAAGGGACAATTAAATTGAAATCAAAAATAAAAATATTATTTTCTTTTTTTTTTTTTAATTAACATAGTCATTTAAAATTTTATTTGAGAAGACACATATGTATATACGTACATACACATATATATATATATATAGGTATATATATATATATATATATATATATATATATATTATATTTTTTTTTAAATTTAGACAGTAAACTTGATTTTATGAACTGATGAAAATTTTTTTTAATAAAATAAATTTTTTTTTAAATAACCACAGAAATTTTTTTTTCTTTTAACTTTTAAACTCCAATTAAAAAATGAAAATACTTATATAAGTATAAATGATAACTACATAATTGCGTAAAATTTGTTATACATTATCATAAATCTCATAAATAAATTTGGAATGGAAAGTGATTTTTAATTGTAATGTCTGAAAATTTTATTTTCGGTTCAAAAATAAAGGAAACTTTTTATATAGAATATTTTTAATAATTGTTTTTAATATATGTAGATGTGTGTGCGTTTGTTTGTTTTGAAAGTGTTATTATATTACAGATAATTTATTTTTATTTTTTATATTTTTTTTATAAAATATTATGGCCTTGATGGATAATTTAAAGATTCTATAAAATAAAGGATATTGTGGTTTTGATTTTTATTTTTTATTTTTTAAATTTTGTTACTCAAATTTACTTTATATTAATTGTAATTTTAATTTGGGTAAAAAAATTTTTCAAATGTTATTAAATAAGTGAAAAAGAATAAATGAAACTTTAAATAAAATTAAAGAGAACCAATTATTTGGATTATTTAATATTATTAAAAGAACATTTAATTTTTAATTTAAATTTTGTTAAAAAAACCCTTTGCATTCGATTTATTTTCAAGATTGTTGCATGTCAACTTGTATAAGATCTCGAATAATGCAAATGAATTTTACAGTTATTTAGTGCTATTGTTTATAGATATACATTAGTATTGCCAACTCCAGTGTAACATACGGAAAGTAGTAAATTAATATTGTCACCTCCAATGTAATATACGAGTGCAAAGGGTTAATTGTATACGATATAATGTGAAAAGGACTTGAGCTCAGATTATTTGTATAACGGTACATAACTGCAATTATTTACTTATTGGATTGAATTTATAGTTACTAATATGTAACAATTAAAATTATTTTAATTTAATAAATATTTTTATTAAATATTACTTATAAATTAAATGTACATAGTAAATTTTAATAAAAACAGTTAATTATGTGGTAACTTTGTCATTCAGAATTGCTTTAATAAATTAACTTTCGAATTCTAATAGTAACTTCTAACACATTTTATTTATATAGTTTTATTACAAACAACTGCTTACTTCTATTATTCTATTCTAAGTAGGTATACGTAATTTTAAGGTTTTAGTTACTAATTTCTGACATTTTCAATTGTAAAAATTTCTTACTTCAAAATTACAGTATGTTATTAATCTGATAATAAATCTGGTAACAGTTTAAGAATTAATTACAATATTGATAAATTTCTAAGCCAGACTGTGTGAAATCTATAAAAGAGCTGGAAATTAATATTTGACTGAATATGTAATTGAGATAATGTAGTTAAAATCCGAAATTGAAAACATTTCTCACAATTAATGAATATTATTCGAAAAAAAAAATTAATTCATATTACTTAATTGTTTTTAATTCGATTAACATAATATTGAATATAAAATCATCTTGATTTTTAAGGAACTTTGAAAAGCAAAGTATTTTTCCATTCAAATTGTAATATAAAGCTAGTAATTATATATAACATTATAATAATAAGCATATGAATAAGTCTATAGAGAACCACATTGTTTGATTTTTGAATTTCGCATATAAAATACAAGAAAAAAATTTAATTTTTTTCAATTTATAAAAATGAAGGAAAAAAATTTTCCATTAGAATCAAATACTTACATGAATTCGGATATTTTTTATAGAATCTAGATAATAAGAAAGATCAAAAATCATAATAAAATTCTTTTTAACTGTTATAATTTAAACCTGATTTAATCAGTTTTTTTCTGATTTTTGTTTTATTTTTTTTTTTTAATATAAACAACACTAAAATCTGCTGAAATATTTGTTTACATTAATAAATCCCTTTTTTTATATTGAATTATTAAGTAAACATACAAGTAAATAATCAAAATTAGTAAGAAATTCGATTTAAAATAAGTAAGTATAACAATATAAAACACAGTATAAATATTCTAGCATTTTCTTAAATTTTTTTTATACACAAAATTTTTTCATATGTATACAATAATATTGTTAAGTATAATATCAAATAGCCATGGCTACAGTTATCATCACCTTATAAATGCCTTATATTCACTTATATAACTTATATAAAAGATTTTAAATACATAAACATATATACATGTATATTTAAAATATTATGGAATTTTTAACTATTAAATCAAAGTTTTTGTATCTGACTGTTAGGTATCAAAAATTATAAAAAAAAAAAACTAATAAGAAAAACTCAATCGTAACGCAAATCGTAAAAAAATCAAAAGAAAAAAAAATTGTGCGAATATAATATTATGATCTGATCATATAACAGATATAAATATGAGAAACTTAATAAATTCCTTTATAAATGTAAACATTATTAAGTATGATCACATTAACATACACATAAAGTTAAAGATATAAGTATATAACTGTTATAAATTATACTTATTTTATTCTTATAGTATGCAAAAATATTTATATGTATAACAATATATTTTTTTTAAAAATCGTAAAATTTTAAATAAGAAGTTAGTAACTTATGCCTGATTATAAATATAAATTTCGATTTTAATTTAATAAATTAAATACTAAGTATTTTAAATGAAAATAAATTAAGATCATACGAGTATTTAATGTTATATTTTATATCCAATTATGTATTTGTATAGCTGCTCATATTATGAGTCTTTTAACAGATGCTCATTGTACCTTACCCCTTATCCCACTCCTACTTATTACTCCAGTATATTTCATTTCGTTAAGGTAGGTATGTAAAATAAGTTACCCGCGTTATACCTACGTAATAATATAAATTGTGTACTTAAAGCGATTATACATTTTATATTACTTATTTTATTTTGGTTTTTTAATAAAAAAAATTGTTATAAAGCAAAAATATTTTTCTTGTTTTATGGTAGTTTGAAATTTAAGCCTTCCGTTTAATAATAATTTTGAATGTTGTTAAGTACTAGTAACGTATACGTGCGCCGTATATTACCTATACTTTATAATCTTATTTTATAATTTCTTAATTATTTGTCACATATTTTATAGATTTTAGTTTATTATTTTTTCAAATATATTTTAATATTCTAGTGTATAGGTATAGTAAATTATTACTTAAATATGTAATTATGTAAACGAATATGCTTTATATTATATATTAACGTTTCAATTGTATTTACAAGGTACACTGTTTTTATATATCTCAATTATTAATAAAATGTTCAGTAAATTTATATTATAAAACTTTTATAATTTGTAATACTGGTGTAATTCTTTATGAAATTTATTATATAAATTGTCAATTCCAATTAATTTTAAAATTTAAATTTACAAAATTGTCTTAAAAATTATAGAATAAATAATAATTTCAATTCAGCAATTAAAAATCATAAGCTGAATTGTTTGTGAATATTTGTATAAGTATTATATTGTATATTTTACTCATTAAATATGTAATTTTAAAATTGATTATTAATAGTTATGAAATTAATCGAAATTAAAATAAAATACCTATAAATGCAGGATAAATAAAAAATTTGAATTGAAAAATTTGTGACTATGGAAAATTGGCTAACATTTTGTGTATTCAATATTAATATAAATTTGATACAAGAATAACAACACAAAATTTAACATTATTAAGTAGATATACTAGTGTATATCTACTAGTAGTACCTACTTAGTGTTAATTATTATAATAATATAATCTAATCTCTCTTACCTTGAATTAAATCCAATTGTGGTTTCAATTGCTGTAATACCATTATATGAGATACGTTTTTCATATTCACCATCTATTAAATAATCTGTAATAATAAAATTATCATTTGCCCGATTATATGATAATTTTTTTATTAAATTATAATTATCTATATTATTAATTAATTTTTGATCATAATTATCATCATTATTATTATTATTATATTTATAATGTTGATGTTTATAACATTTAGTTCCATTTAATAATGTTGTTAAAAATATTAAAATAATTTTAATAAATTGAATATTTATTTCCATATTGTTATATATATATATATATTTATCCCGGTTCTTATTTTTTATTTTATTAAATTTCAATAAGAATTTTAATTTGAGGTTATTTTGAATAAAATAAAAAATTTATTTTATGTTTCTTCTTCTCTTTTTTATTTTTGATTTCAATTAAACTTGTTTTTTTTTTTTATTATGTAAATATTTTGTAATTTTTCTTTTATTTAATAAATATATAAGTATATTTTTTTTTTTACTGTTACGATACTATTTTATTCTTTTACAATTAATTTTTAAAAAATTATTTAGTATGAATTTCTTTTGAAAAATTCCCAACTTTTAATATTTTATAAATTTAAAGCGCTTTTACAACCTTGTCCTAAGGTTGTTCCGTTAAAACTAACCAATTATTAAATGTAGATAACCGAGAATGACAACGTGCAACATTAAAAGTCAGTGCTTTAATTTTGCTGTTTCTTTTTTTTTTCATTTTTTTCTTCTTCTTCTTCTTCATATAGTCAGACAAGAAAAAAAAATTTAAAGTTTTCTTTTTTTTTTTTTTGCTTTCAATATAATTTTGATGACGAAATGAATTAAAACTCACAAATACATGAAATTTTTTTCTTTTCATTTTGTACATAAAATGAAAAATTTTTAATATTTTTTGTTAAAAAATTTCGAGAGAAAAAATTTACCTTCAAATTATTTTTAAATACATTGTTTCTTTTTAATTGAATAACTTTTAGTGTCGTTCGAATAAAACAAATGTGATTGAGAATCGAACAAACGAAAGGTTTTAAAGAGAGTAAAGAAAAAAAAAAATTGTTGATAAGAAAATTACAAATTATTATGTTTAAAATTAAAATACGGTACATATAGTAAGAAGTAATAATAATAATAATTACCGTAAATCATACAAGTATAATCAAATTTGTATTGTATTATGTTATACATGTATGATGTATTAAATAAATTAAAGTTTGAATGATATTGATTTGATACATTTTGTATGATGTTGAAATATAGTTTAATTTGCATTAGGCTCAAACATACAACAAATAGAGAATCTGTGAACATTTTATATAAAATTCTTGTTATAGAAAAATTATTAAAATAATATATGTTCGATTAATAACGGTTCGGTTATAAAAATAACAATAACAAAAATATCATGTTTTTCACCGAAAATATTTTAATAAAGGTTCTATTAGAATAGTTTATTTAAAAATATTGTTTGGTTTTTTCATTGAAATTAGTGATTGAACAGTTTTAACAGTCCTGACAATGCTACTGATTATCCTTTACCCTCAGCTCATAATAATTACTTATCCTGACTATGGTACGAATTTTAAGAATAAAACTAAAAATGTAGTAAAATTTATTATATTTTTCCGTAAAAAGACAGTACAGGTTTAACGTTCAAATATTTCTTTGGCACATTTTATAATTAGAAAAAAGTCTTTTTCACCTTATTCATTTATTGTAATGCGTATATTTTAAAATAGCAATCATACAAAATTTAACTGAAGTAAGTTACTTTCGGTATTACCTTTCAAGTAATGAATAAAAACAAAAAATCACAATTAAAAAAAAATAAACATTTATTTTAGTCCTGCTAAAGTAAGAATTCATAGGTATGTAAGTATTTTATAATCAAAGAGAAAACAATATAAAACGCACCATATTTTATTCATTACAAACATTTAACTGCGAACATTTTTGTAATAAAAGCATGAATGGTGATATTTTTTTTGTATCTGTGCTTGTATTACATAAGAAAGTTACTTCCCTTTCTTTATAAACTAATTCAACATTTCGAACAATTTACAAGCAATTTACCATTTTTATACTTACACATACTACTACGCTTAAGGAATACAAGTACATACATACAGTCTTAAATTCTAATGATTTCTAAGAACGTATCTTGTTATTTTCAATTCTTATAGAATTGTATTACATTATATACTTATATATTTCTTTACAGAATTACATAAATATAAAATGTTCATGTAAACATATTTAAAATATTCAAATAACAAAAAAATTCATTAAAACAATGAAAAAAAAAATCCTTTTTCTATTTTGTTTTATTTTTGCTTTCAAAGGTCGTTTGAAAAATAAAATATTTTCCATTTCGCTGCTCTTAAATAGGTAACAGTAATTTTGATAACAATAATTTAAACATTCAGTCAAAAAAAGAATTATTTTTGATGGAAAAAAAAATAAAAAATAAAATAAAACATTCCATTTCCACGGTCTACATTATTACAATTACCTAGACTACTCACCTATGTATGATGATGATATAGAAGCTTTTCTTTGTTTTTTGAATCCTTTTTAATATGACAAAAAAAGAAATAACACAAGACAAGTATGTATAACTATATGAAACATAACTAACTAATCTACCAGCATGATATAAAAAATTGTCAACAAGCATACAAACAAACAAAATATACCATATTTGAAATTTTAAAATTAAAGAAAATTATGCTACATAAGTACATTACGATTTTGTATTTGTAAGCAAAAGAAAAAACAATTAAATGATTTTCTACAGGTCAAAGAAATGCAACGCATCCCATCAAATTTTTTAAATTTACATCCGTGTACTTAAACATATAAACTATTAATATTTTTATTTAAATGCTTGTAATAAAAACATCAAATGCTGTTTCATCAAAATTCTCTAAAATACATCATTGTATTTAGTCAGTAATTATTGTTCTTTAATACTTCTATAACCCCTATCTTTATACTCTTGGCATATTATTGTACATATGGGATGCCCCTTAACTGAAATTTGAATGATTGGTTCATGGTATTTAAATCGAACATAAAATTGTAAACTAATGAAATATTGAAAAATTCTTAATATATCAATTTCTCAATAAAAATTTCTGGTTTGGTTCAAATATAATAAAGTAGTGAATTTAAATACCCAAACAAAAAATTTTGCAAATTCTAGCACATATTTTGTATAAAAAAAAAATTGGTAAAAAAAACTATTTAGAAATAGTTTAATTTAAAACTATTTTATTTTAAAACTATTTAGAAATAGTAAAAATTAAAAGTTAAGTGTGTTCAAATTTTACTCTAGCTATTTTTAAAAAAGGAAACACTATGAAGTAGGCTATTAAACATCTTGTTTTTATAAAAAAAACTTTTATTTATTTTAAAAGAAAATTAAGCAGTCGTTTTAAAGTAATATACCATAAATTATTAAACAAGCTTACGTTTAAGCTTTGATAATTTTTTTATGCAAGTTTCCAAATTCAAAAATAACAGTGAATTAAAAATTCTGCTTGAATTTCCGCTTGAATTTAAGAATAATGGCTTGAAAAATTCTTCAAATTATCACTTGCCACAGTACATGCCTGTAGAGTCTATCTATACAAAAATTCAACTGTTTTATATCTTTACAAGCAAATACACAGAAATTAATATAATTTTGAAAATAATCTGGATGAAAAATCTTTTGAGTAACAAATTCATATCTAAAATCTAACTCCCTTTGATTCAAACTATTTATTGTGTGGCAAATTTATCTCATTAACTAAATGATTGATTTATTATTATAAAATAATTTTGATATTGCAAATATATTTATAATCTATTCTATGTCATACAAGTATGTAGTACAATTTAATTATAAACATTTGAAAATTTTCAGATCATTATTAATTTTTTATTGCTATCGAAATTAATAAATACAAAATAAATTTCAAAAAATTTTGAATTTAACTTTTACCATCTGTTAATCCTTTTTCATAATCTTTAGAATATTTAATCCCATGAATTTTCATATGTGAATAAATACCGTTATATAAAGCATATCCCTTTCCTTTAACAAAGATTATTTAATAATTAATTATGTATATAGAAATCAATTAAAAATATTATTACCACAGATTTTGCAAATGTAATCCTTTACGCCACTATGTTGCTTTTTATGCCACAAAAGACATCTTTCTCTTAAAAATTTTGCTGGACATTGATCACAAGCGTATGGTCTTTCATTCGAGTGTATAATTTTATGTTTATTCAAATCATGTTGTTCGTAAAACCTTGAAAATAAAAAGCAAAAAAAAATTTTTATAAGTTTCAGATTAATATAAACATCGGAAAAATTATTTACCCTTTATTACAAACGTCACATTTAAATGATCGACCATTTACGTGATAAGTTTTGTAATGGTAATCCCTTTTGTATTCGTAAATAAAGCTGAAATGAGATTTTTATGTCAAGTCTTACATTCAAAAAGCAATTTAGAATATAACAGCAAAATTATTTTCTTCATTATTTATTTTATTTATTTTAAAGTTATTTAATTTTAATGTGAAAATTGAAACTGTTGAGATTATGTGTTTAAAATATGTGTATAATTAAAAGCTTACCCTCTAAAGCAGGCTGAACATTTAAATGGCCTATCACTTACATGTCGATTAATGTGAGCCTGCAAATTTTTTTCTTGTTTTAATTTAAGCTTAATTTAAATAAATTAAAAAAAAAAATAAAATTACTTTCAAAGAGCTTTGATCAACAAATTTTTTGTCACAATCCTTCCAACTGCATTTAAATTCTAATTCTTTAGTGTGTATAATTTTAATATGGTTTCTTAAACTTTTTTGTGAAATAAACATTTTTTTACATATATCACATTGAAATGAATATCGGGAATCATCATGAACTTTTAAATGATAATATAATTTATGTTTAGTTATTGATTTTCCACATACTTCACAAACTACTTTTTCCCCCTCTTTACTTCGACTTATTTTTTTTTTCACTTTTATTTTTTGAGCTTGCTTAAATCTCTTTGCATTAAATTCTTCTGTTTTAGCATTGTCGGATATGTGTACTTCAGAATTAGTATTCATAAGACTATTTTCAGTTGTTTCATTATCGTGGTTCAGCTCTTCTTTTATAGACGAATTTGATTTTACATTTTTTGAAATATTTTTGCTGTGATTAGAAATATGTACTTTCAATTTTGAATTATAAACAAATTCTTTAGGGCACATTGGACATTTGTAAGGCCTCTCATAGTGATATCTTAAATGAACTTTCAAACTTTTTTCATCCACAAAAGATTTGTTACAATTTTCATGTTCGCATTTAAAAGGTTTTAGTTCCTTGTGATAGTTACGGGAATGTAAAGAAAGACTAATGTCTGAAACAAATAATTTCTGACAAATGTTGCATTTATACTTGTACCGGCTATGATCATGAGATGTTAAATGCCTTTTTAAATAATATTTTCTTATTTTATTGCCACATATTTTACAGGAAAATCTTCCACATTCTAATTCAACGAAATTTGACAATAATTCTGATAGTAACTTGTTTTTCTTTTTTTTATCAAATTCTAAAATATCATCACCCAATTCTAAAACATAAAAAATATTTCAGAAATAAAATAAATAAATTATTCAACATATTTTATATTTTAAAAACCATAACATATTTACTAGGCAGCGTGGATTCTTTGAGTGTAGAATATTCAGAGCTCTGGTCATCCAAAGCATCTATTTCGGAATTTGATTTTTCTAAAACTGAATGCAGAAACATGTCATTTTCCTCTTCGAGATATACAGTGTTTTTAGCAGAATCAGAAAAATTTGGTTTACTTTCCAATGTAAAACTGTTTTCGTCTTCAAAATCTAAACCATTAGCATCGGAATTAACTTTTTCAAAAACGTTGTTTTCAATATTTAAGTCACTGTAATTGCAAATTTAGTATAAGCTCTAAAATTTAAATTTATATCTAATTATAGTTATTACTCTTGACTGTCTCTTAATTCTTTATGAGGAAAGTTTGAATCCACTGCTTTTGTCTGATCCAAAAAGTGCTCCAAAAAATCATCGTTTTGAAGATCAAAATGTTTCTCCAATAAATGATCACAAAAACTATATATTCTTTTATAAGTTTCTGAGCAGATTGAACATATAATCTCTAATTGAGAATTTAGATGATAAATTTCGGCACACTTAATTTTAGGCTTGTCCATTATATTTTAGTTATTCCTTTTTTCTTTATCTTAGCTAAAGTACTGTATTCAGAAGCCAATATAAATTATTAAATTTAGATATAAAAATATACATACATAAAACTTTATTAATTGCAAATAAATAATACAAAATTTTAAGGGTAGTCAAAAGAATTCATTTTTGACAATATAATAATTAAAATTAAGTATATCTGTTCATGATCCGTTCTGATTCTAATTCTGCTATTAAAAAAATTTCTTGACAGTTTCACAGTTTTTCTTGACAGCAAAAATTGAGAATAAGACATGTGAAAATACAAACAATATTGTGTAAAAGTTATGAATCAAAAGAAACGTCAATAAGTTTGAAAGTAAAAACAGTACTTTATTTTTTGGTAAAACATGAAAATTACGAAATGTCTACTCAATGTCATTACTCGAATCCATTTTCAAATAGGTAACATTTATTTGTTATTTTTCAATATTTGTATCATATTATCATGTGACTCTCATATGATATATGTCATATGTGTTTTTTCATTATACAATAAGTTAGCGAGTTAAAATTTAATTTTTGTCTCGTAACATAATACACAATATTGTATATATATATTAAAAATTGTACGAAATTATAATAACTTTTATTTACCCAGCATTTACACGTACAAGTTACTTGCAAGAAAGTTGCAATACATACAAAAATTTTACTAACACATTGAAATATTTCTACTTGCTTGTTTACTTGCAGTTCAACTTGCAAGAAAATTTTGCTGCCAGTAATTTGAGCAAGTAATTTGACATATTGAGAAATTCACAAAAAAAAATTTGTTGTTTTGATTTTTTTTTTTTAATTTAAAATTTTTGAATTTTGTTTTGAAAAAATTAAACTTAGCAAACTTATGGTTTCTAAAATTTATAAACAATTATATATATTGCTAGTTGTTTTCTTCTCAAAGACATTTTCAAAAATTAACTTGCTAAACGCCTACGTCATAATAGCAAGTAATTTGACATTTCGAAAAACTAATTGACAATTAATATTATACAAACTTGCTTGCAAGTAACTTGTATGTGTAAATGCTGGGTTATGAAGTGATTTGCTTTCACAACACAAGACATGGTGAACCATTGATTTGCTTTGACGGCAAGGTGAACCATTAAACCATTAAAGCAAAAGTCGTCGTGTGAACATATGTATTTAACGTGGATAGGAGATTATAACAAACATAACATTATCGCGACACAAAAACAGCAACAATCGCACGAAGTGCCATAATATTATTCAACTAAGAGGAGAAGAATGTGAGAAATTACTCTAGTACAAAATTTTTTTACGTTGTTTTTAATTAATCTACTGTCGCTGTTGCTGGTCTCTGCCAATGTTAAGTGATTGTTGGTACAGTGTCGCAGCGATATAATTCTGTCAGCCACTGCCAAAATTATATAAAAAAATAACACATGTTTAATGACAGCATGACACCCAAAAGAAATAAGTAATAACAAAAGTAATATTTGTTAAAGTTGATATAAAATGTTTAAATAAAGCAAGGTTTTCGCAAAGCAGCAATTTTATTTTAATAGGTAATAATTTACCTGCAACTTAATATTGCTGCCTAATAATCAAATTGTAATAATTCAGAAATAAATGCGGATAAATTTCCAGTTACGGTGATGTTTTTTGTACATATATATATATATACATATTATTTATATAAAAAAAGGAATGAAAATCAAACATGAAGCCAAGCTCGGTTTTGGAGTTTTCAGAGTTGTGACCTGTAAATTACATGTATTTTGTTTTTTATGTATTCAAAAATATTTAAATGGCATCGGACAAACGTCTATCGGGTAGATCTTGTGCTGTTTGCAAAAAAAACAGAAGAAATTTTAAGGGAAGCTTCTATAGTTTCCCAAAAGAAAAATATTTGTTTGATGCTTGGGTGTCCAGATGTAAACTAAGTGATAAAATTTTAAAGAGAAATTCATTATTGCTATGCGAAGAACATTTTGAGAAAAAACCAGCACGACGTGGAAAAATTCAAAAAGGTTCAATGCCTACTTTGAAATTACCTCCTGATATTAAAGTGGGAAAAGTGGAAGATTTACAGCAAGTGCAAACTTTTGAAAATAATAGTGAAGAAAACAACTCTTCGGAACATAAAATTTCAAGAAATTCTCATCAGCTTCCTTTTAAAATACTTTCTGAAATTATAGAGAAAAAAGTTGGAGAAATACAGCAAATGCAAACTGATGAACATAAAAGTAAGGAAAAAAGCTCTTTTGAACATTCAGAACAAAATTCTGAAAATGGGCGAAGTATTGAATATGAACGAAATTCTAAAAATGAACAAAATTCTAAAGACAAAAAGAGACAAAATTTAAAAAACAAAAAACTGATTCCAAAAAATAAACAAAAAGGACAAAAATTAAAAAATATAAAACAAATTAAAAAAAACGAATTTCTTAAATCTAAGGACTTAAAAGGAAAATCAGTAGTTTATTTGGAAGAAAACGATTGCGAAAATATATTGTGTTCGAAATATAAAGAGAAATCAGAATACTTTTATAAAAAATATTTTATCGCAGATAGTATCTCTAAAATAATGAAACGAAAAAATGCAAAATTAAAAAAAGAAGAAATTTTATTAAGGTTATTGAATAAAATACTGCAAAACAAATTGCAAGAACTGGTAGACTCAAGTAATCCACGAATTAATAGTTGAATAAATAAGGCTAAGTAGTACCTACCAAAATAGAAATATTGTATTTTTAATTAAACAAATGTATTTCATTTTTTCAAAGCCTTTATAGTTTAGTTATTTACAAATATAATGCTAATATTAATAAGATAGTAATTCAAAAAATTACTTATGACTTTAAACATTAAAAATACATTTTCTAAATTAGCTAAAATTTTTTTAGTTATTTATTCCAGAGTAAAGTTGTAAGAATTTACTATGCAATAAAATCAAAGCACGTTTAAATTATATTAATGCGATTAAAAAATGTGTGAAACTAAGATTTATTCTTTGTTCCTCTTTATAAGGAAAGAGAAGTCGAGTTTAAATTATACGTGGTTTAATCTATTTGTGTGATTCCGCGCAGTGAACCTTTACAAATAGTTATACAAAAATATATCGATAGTTACTTGCATAAATATAAATTAATGGAATTGGCTTTAAACAATTAATTTTTCTTTATCCATTTATATTTATTTGAAGTAAATTTTTTTGTATGAATAACTTTGGTATGATTTCTTAAACGATTTTGTGACATAAACTTTTTCTTACATAAATCACATTGGAATAAATAACGAGATTCATCATGAAGTTTTAAATGATAGTTCAATTTAGATTTAAATATTGATTCTCCACATATTTCACAAAGGATTTTTTCGAGAGCATTATGCTCTTTATGATAATTACGGGAATGGAGGGACAAACTAATATCTGAGATGAATAGTTTATAACAAATGTTGCATTGATGTTTATATCGACTAAAATAAAAATTTTTAAGATTAAAAAATAAAAAAACAAATTATCAGAATTCTAAAACCTATGATCATGTTTCTTCACATTAAATTTGGTTATTTTATTACCACATATGGTACAATAGAAGTTTCCACATTCTAGTTCAACAAAAGTTTCGGCTTTTTTATTTTTTTCCTTACCATTTGGTTGCATGATAGAATTACCTAATTTTAATATTTTTTATGAAAATTAGATTTTTTCTCGGTATGAAATAAATTTAACATTTACTTTGCGAGACGCATTGATTCTGCAATATATTTCGAGCAGAGGTTTCGCCAAAAATGTCCACTTCTTGGCCAAATTTTTCAAAGTCCGTGTTCACATATTGAAAATATGCATCACTTATATCAGAATCTACTTTTTCTAATCTATCTTTGCTTCCTACATGTTCATTACTGCTTACATTGAGATAAATACTATCAATGCTTGTTTGAACTCTTTCACAATTTCGATTGTCTTTTGAATTCGTATTTTCACAGTCTTGATTAAAAGAACTATCTTCACAATTAAATTTACCAATATTTATTTTATTTTCCATATGATGTTCACTGAAAATATAAGTATGAGCGTAAATATTATTGAAAATTAATTTTACTTGTGAGTTTCACATTTTTTCATCATTATTTAATTCAATTTCAAGGGGTAACTTCTGATAAGCTGATTCTTCGCTTTTTTCCAAAAAATTTCCCAAAAAGTCTTGATCTTCGAGATTAAAATGTTTTTTTATTAAATGACTACAAAAATTATGTATCCGTTCATAGCTTTCTGAGCAAATGGTGCATATTATTTCTAGACGAGAATTTATGTGATAAATTTCGGCACATTTTGCTTTAGGTTTTTCCATATTGTTCCTTTTGACTTAGTATGCCTACAAACTTACATATTATGTACAAATTAAAATTTAATTAGTTTAAATGAGTTACATATATTATTTTATATTTCCTTTATACTTTAGGGCTCCTTTTTGATTATAATAGGTATGTGCATGTAAGTGATTTATTTATTTATTTACGTCAGTGGTCGGCAAACTTTTTTGGTCGTGGGTAAAATTGGTCAAAAATCAGATTTTTTTAAACTCATAGCGGGTCAGCGGCAATTTTATAAAAAAGCAATTAAAAAGAATAGTTAAACGAAAAGTTAATTCATTTATTATATATAAAATAAATAGAAACATAACAGAAATAAATTCAATACACATGTAATAAAAATAAATCAAAAAATAACAAAACCAATATTTAATATTATAAATTCAAAATCAGTGACTTCCATGATGCTGTGCTGTTGCAGTTAATTTGGACAAGTTTGGTTCATATGTTGATACCTTAAGTCGGACACATTCATCAGAATGCTCCGTAGTCAAACTACTCCTGTTTTTATTTAATATATACTTCATTTGTGAAAATGTTTGTTCACAATTATAACTTGATCCAAATGCAGATAAAAGAGCAAGTGCAACTTTTTTTAGGCATGTAAACTTTGTTGGAAGAGATGCCCAGCATGTGGATATTATATCAAGATGATTTACTGCGAATTAACTTGCAATAAAAATTTTAATATTTGTTAAAGATTTTTGCTATTATGTATTTGTTTTATATACTTACTCAAGGCAGACAAATAAAAAATATAATTTGTTTTTGAATCACACAAATTTTCAAACTAAAGAAATGTGAAAAAAGCAATTGAAACTTAGCACTCAATGTATTTTAATTTTCTTCTTTTTTTGTTTTGAGCATAGCAACATAAAAGTTATCACGGCTACTACGAATTTAAAAATTCAAAAATCATAGTTTGTCAATAAATGGTTTGGAAAATAAAAAATTCTTTAATTTCGTTCAATTTTTTGTTATTTTTCTTACATAGATTTGGAAAGTTACTTTAAAAAATCGAAGCGGGTAACATAAAATCATGCTTCGGGTCACTCCGTGACCCGCGGGTCATAGTTTGCCGGGTGCTGATTTACGTTATGCTATAGTAATTTGCAACTAGATTTTTTTTTGTTATTTTTTTTCGATGTTTTTTTTTCCTAATAAACATTGTATTTTTGACAGTTTTTGGAGTTTAAAAATTTTATGTCACAATGAAACTCTAATACGAGTTGTCAAAACCTTAAATTTATCAATTGGTTGCTATCTCTATTTTATTACTGCGTAAAGACATTTATAAAATAAATAATGCATAATAAATTTTTGAAAATATTTTTTGGAATAATATTATTCAATGTCTATTTAATATGTACAAATATAAAATTTAACAATCTTTTGCCGTGGATCGCACGAAGTTGAAAACAGAACAAAAGCCATTTTCCGCAGAAAAACGTCAGATTTCATATAGAATACAAATATTTGAATAGGACTGAAAGTCAAGCGAATATTTATGTAACAATATAACGAAAGAAAAATATGCTAAAAATATTTTTTAACCTGCAAATATCCCAAATATTACACTAAATTTTAAGAATTGAATAACTGAAAAAGTGGTGTTATTTTGTTTCGAAATTATTGTTGAGGGGTTGCAATCAAGCAAAGTTTGAGAGTCATTGTTATAATAAACTTTTCAAATTTTATGTAATATGTACTTACTCTAAGTCCCAGAAGATGCTAGAAAAACACAACATTAAAGTACATTTTTGATTTCATCATCTTTCACCTCACTTTGTGTAATTTATACTTTTGCCGGAAGTGGTAATTTGTTCCTCATTATTTTAACTTAAATTTATAGGCTAGCAAATTATGAATTTTCTCGTACACAACACGCACATATGTATATAGATATGTTTGTATGCATGTGTGTATGTACATATGCATACATGTTTTTCATAAGGTCACCTTTTCTAATTTCAATTGCAGAAAAAAAAATACGGATAAAAAACTTGCCAAAAGTTCAACATGTGGGTACTAATCGAGAAAAATTTTTGGAACGTTCAAAAAATAAGGGATAGCAATAAAAATCGAATAAACTCTGATTTTATCTGAAAATTTCTCCAAGGTTTGTTTAATTTCAAAAATAACGACAAAAATACCTGCACGTACATTAATTTGTTAGTTTCAATTTTGACTACTGGGGATTACGTTAAGGAATTTAACAAGCAATCCTTTCCTACTTTTTTCTCTACTTCCTATAATCTAAATGACATTAAGTATGTTTGGTATATAGATATGGATACGGCAAAACTTCAGGACTTGTAAAAATCGATTCGTTTTATCAAAAATAAATTGCAGAAAACTAAATTTATTTAATAAATTTAATAATAAAAGGAGCCCTCGATTAAGTCCTATATTTTATTAAATTTTTTTTCATGTGTATTAATAAAAAAATATGAGATCCTTTATCCACCATATTTACGTCAATCTGACTTTTGTTGTATTCTTTGGTGTTATAAGTAAAGGAATGAAAATAACTTCAACTTCTGAAGCGTATACTTATAAAAATGATTATTATGATGAAAGAGGATATTGTGCTCCATACAATGGCAAGGTGTGTAAATCTTATATTTCTGGTCAAGTATGGTATAGCAGAGAAGATCCCGGAGGGGGTTGGCAAAATGAACAAATTACGGCAGGGTTATGGGAAGATTTGATAACTGATTTGAATGGATTATGTCGGGAAGCAGCGGAGGTAATACATATCTAAATATGATAAAAGTAGTTAATCTATGTAAATATTTTATTGATTATGTAGAGAATGTTATGTGCATATGCTTTTCCCCAATGTATTATTGAAGAAGGAGCAACTATTCGATTACCTTTATGCTACGAAGATTGTGTTGCAACGCATTTACAATTTTGTTATAATGATTGGGTTTTAATTGAAGAAAAAAAGGGACGTGGAATATATATTAAAAGTCGAGGTCACTTTCGATTACCGAATTGCGAAGAGTTACCAAAATTTAATTTGAGTTCTGGTAGACCAAGTTGTTCCCATGTTGGATTAACTATTATACCGCAAGACGAAGTGACATGTAATTAACTGCATGCAATTTTAATATTCAATTATTCATGGATTTCATTTTAGATGACTGTCGTATGGGAAACGGTAGGTATTATTTAGGTACAATGAATGTTACCAAAACTGGTTTGCCTTGTCAAAGATGGGACCAGCAATATCCTCACAAACATATGCAGCCTCCATTAGTTTTTCCTGAAATAGCAGAGGGTGAAAATTACTGTCGAAATGCTGGTGGAGAAGAGCCTTATCCTTGGTGCTATACAACAAGCGAAAATGATAGGTGGCAGCACTGCCTCATACCACTATGTCGTAAGTGCTTAATTTATGGATTAATTTCTTAAAAGCAATATTAATTTTATTAATTTTTAGCCAACTCATCTGACATTATTACAAAGGACAACACTCATCAGATTTCAATGGAAACATTTTTTACTCCATCTATGATACTACTTTTGTCTGGTATTGGTTTCGTAGGAATTGTGGCTTGTCATTTAACCGTCTTACTCTTATATAGAATATGTCGCCATAAAAATTCACGACCTCCACATTCATCTGGCGGTTATAACATTGCAGCGACGCAAGATAATATAGATATTAATAAATTGCCCAGTAACGCCGCATATCACGAAACTGGAATTCAATTAAATCCAAAACTAGAAAAATTAGAATATCCTCGCAATAATATTATTTATATAAAAGATTTAGGGCAAGGAGCTTTTGGTAGAGTTTTTCAAGCTAAAGCACCTGGATTGGTTGCTGGTGAAGATTTTACATTAGTAGCTGTTAAAATGTTAAAAGACGATGCAAGCGCTGACATGCAAAAAGATTTTGAACGTGAAGCTTGTTTGTTAGCTGAATTCGATCATCCTAACATAGTGAAATTGTTGGGTGTTTGCGCAATCGGCAGACCAATGTGTCTCCTGTTTGAATTTATGTCTCGTGGAGATTTGAATGAATTTTTAAGATCATGTTCTCCTTATATTACACATCGTCCAGTTGCTGTATCTGAACATCCAGATTTATCATATGGTGATTTATTAAGTATTTCTTTTCAAATAGCAGCGGGAATGTGCTATCTATCAGAACGTAAATTTGTTCATCGTGATTTGGCGACGCGCAACTGTTTGATTGATGATCATATGATTGTTAAAATTGCAGATTTTGGCCTTTCACATAAAATCTATTTACAAGATTATTATAAAGGTGATGAACATGATGCTATACCAATAAGATGGATGCCATTAGAAAGTATATTATACAATAAATATACAATTGAATCAGATGTATGGGCATTTGGAGTTTGTTTATGGGAAATATTTTCATTTGCGTTACAGCCATATTATGGTATGACACATGAAGAAGTTGTTAAATATGTTAAAGAAGGTAATGTATTAAATTGTCCAGAAAATACACCATTACCTATTTATTCATTAATGAGAAAATGCTGGAATAGTAAACCAACAGAAAGACCTAGCTTTCAAATAATATATCAGACGTTACATCAAATTATAGCTGAATATGAAAGTAGAAATATGAGTATGCACTAATTAATACTAAAATATAAGTGTTCACAAATTTTTCAATATTTAATTTTAAATAATTGATTCAATGATTCAATAGAAGATTGTGAAATCTGTGCATTTAAAACATTTTTTATATTCTCAAACAAAAATTTTAAAAATTAACATTTAGGAATTAATTGTATTATTGTGAACTAATACGAAAAAAATTGTTATTATTTTGTGAAAAAAAACAAAAAAAAAATTGTAGGTTTCAATATTATGTTTTAGTGTGAGATTTTTGCGAATTACTTTGTAACAAAAAAAAACATTCATTAATGTAGAAAAGTTTTCGTAAATATTTACTAGATTCTAATAATAATATGAAATTTTATTTCCTCGTTCAATACAATATAGTGCTATATTCATCGGATAAAGATTGAAATTGAAATTAAGAACTGAATTGTAATTTGAAGTGTTATAGTTTTTTAGATATAATATATCCTATATTTTTAAATTTTTAGCTAATTTACAATTTCTTTTTTTTACTATTATTATTATGTACCTCAATTCCTAACATAATACATATTTAAGTTTTACAATAGTAACAACCTAAAATTGATAATTGAAGTAAAAGTAGGAAAAACAATGATGATTCCTAATAATTATTTTAAAATATGGTTTTTAAGATTTGTTGCTCTTTAAGATATGTTGAAAGTTTTGAATAAGTAATTAATATTTTTTTTTAATTTCATTCTTGTAATTCTATCGTGCACATATCGTCCTATAATATTATACAAAACATTAATGTGCAATTTCGTACATTTTTTGACTGAATAGAAATTTCATCTTTAATAAAGAAAAAAGAAAAAAACAGCGATATTCTGATTGTGAAAAAAATGTTTCACTTTAATAATAATTTTTTATATTAAAAAAAAATATACAAATTCATAATTTTCCTCAGAATTATAATTTTGCACATTAATTTTAATTGTTTTGGTTATAGAAGGGACGACGTACTTTTAGTCAAACACAATTAATAAGACTTATTTTGCATTTATAATATTATTAAATTTTTTTTCAAATTTTTACAAATCTTTTTTTTTTTAAAAACATTTTGATCTCAATATCAAATAATATTAAAAAAACATAATATTCAAAATTAATATTATTATTAAGAAAAAAATTAATTTTAATACAGATGTAGTCAAAAATATTTATGTACGTATAAATTATGAAAAAAAAAAATGAAAATGTATCATAAAATTTATAATTTTATATCAATTGTAAATATTAAACTATTTTTTCAAATTAATAAGAAATCTTAATGTAAAGAAAATTAACGAAATAAAAAATTATATATAGAGTTATTAAATAATACAATTCACTAAAAATATACAAAATAATAATAAAAAAAAAACAAAAAAATATTTGTAAAACTTTATGAAATTTAATATTAGATTATAAACATAGTATAATTTTATATTCTGCTTACCTCATAATGCCATATTATAATTATTATAATAAATAATTAAAATTTTTTTTTTCTTTTTTTGTAATTTTATTTTATAATACTAAAATAATAATTATATTAATTGGGGAACAAATACATAAATATACATATATCGTATTATAGAAAATTGCTAAAAATATATGGCATTTTTAAATAAACAAATAATTATAATATTTTGATAAGAAACAATAACAATGAGAAGATAAATAAATTGGTTCTTTTTTAATTTTTCAATAATTAAAGTTGAAATACAATTAAAATTTGCCAAAGATTAATTGATTAAAATGAAAATTTAAAAGAACTAAATAGCCATTAGTATAGCCATATACATTATCACCAATATGTATAAGCAATAAAATTTTTAAATATAATTTTTGCAATTTTTTTTAAAAAAAAAAATTTTTTTTAGAATTTTAAATTTTAGATTGTTTAAATAGTATTTTATTTGTTTATTTCAACTCAAAAGGCTTAACTAATTTTAAATTATCATATTATTATGTATTTCCTTTGTAGCATTAAGTATTTTAATATAATTATATAATAAAATTATTGAACTTAATTTAAGAAACAACAATGCAGTAATTTAATAAAAAATTGCAGAACATACAAATAATGTATGTATGTATGTACCTATACTGTCTAATTTATACATTATAAAATGCATACTATATATATATATATATATATATTTAATTAATAAAATACCACTGGTGTATGTTATAAAGAATTTTTTTATTTTAAAAAATGTTATATTGTAATTGCCATCTTTTTATAATAAATGAAAAAAAAAAAAAATAATAAGTAATTGAATAAATTTGTAATATTAGTTATTAAGTAAGAATATAAAACTAATAATTTGATTTGATTAAATAATTGTTGTCTTATTTCAAGCATTTTATAATCTAGCAGGTTTCTTAATGAAATGAGCTTTACTATAGTTTAAAATGACTGTATTTTAATCTCGATTTTTCAATTAGGCTGTTTTTTTTCTTATTGCATAGTTAAAACCAATTTTTAACAATTTTGGTATTGTTCCATTGTATAAAATTTTTTATTTTACAATATGGAACACAGATAAAATGTATTACCATACTATTACATACTGCATTTTGGATGTCAGGGATTTTTTATTGTGAATTTCAATTGTATATCAATATACAAATTTATTTAATTTAAATTTAAATATTTAAAATTAGCCAGAAAAAAAAGTGTTTTTTACCTATAATACAATATACATATATAAAAATATTTCAATAATTTAATTAAAAATTACTATAGTTTTCCATTCGTTTATTTTGTAATTATGCGATTAAAAATAAAATTAAAGCTTATTTTTCTTTTTTTATTAAATAAAATTGATCACTATTTTATTAACAAGATAAATCATTGTTATAAACTAAAATTTTATATGTTATTATTATTTTAATATCTTTTATTTGGATCTTTTCCAGGTATTATTTCATATTCATCATAAGTAGGAAAAGATGATCGACCTTTTGAATCTTTAGGTACTTCAAATTCATCTTTCTTTTTTCCATAAACTTCATCTAATTTTGCAGCATTTCGTCTTTTCATTTCCATTATTGATAAATTACGAACTAATTCTTCTTTAGTTGGTGGATCAACTCTTCTACCACGTAACCATGCTTCCCATTCAGCTGTAATTTCATTATCAAAAGATTCTTTGTCAACTGGTTCAAACCATCTTGAAGGCTTTCTTTTTCCAATTGCTGGATTTGCCGGAATTTCATAATACTTATTTCCAAAATAATCTTCTCCAATTAAATTTCCTCGTATTTGACGTGGACGAAATGATTTCAAAAAATTCGTAAGTACAATTTTAATTAGATCTCTACTAGGTGGTTTGGACATTTTTAATTATTTGTTTAGAACCTTAATATTTAAATAAATTTATAATTTTCGAACTTTGTGAATTTGTTATGGATTTTATATAAATCAAAATAATAATAAATATAAATAATGACAATTTGAAATGTCAAAGCCCAAGGGTATATCAGGTGAATTTGTATATATTTAATTCCAAAAAGTTTATAGGGTCAATATTTAGCGATTAAAGTGGGTTTACACTGCATTGCAATCTATAGCGGCTAACTTCATTTCTAAAATTATTGTTGATGAATTATCTTACTCACGATTGCATAATAACGTTACAAATATAAATCTTATTGTTGTGCATAATTTAATAGCAAATCTTTTTGTACTGACAGTTTATGTTTCATATGTCAATTTGCGGTATCTACTGGTGACAAATATCTTAGAAAAATAAAAACTTTAAGATACTGTTCACATATATGAGAAAATTTTTGATAAACTTACGATAAAGTCTCATGACTGTTTACACATTATTATTCACAAATCATATTTCACGTCAAAATTTAACAATAAATTTTCTACGAAAATTATAAATAAAATAAAAATTAACCGATTGCTGCTCAAAGCTTTCGCAAAAAAATTAATATTGTCACCATTTTACATTTAAAAATCTGACAATAACTCTAATGAGAATAGCACAGTTTCAATCATTAGCGTCAATTGACAAATTCTAATACAAGGTTCGCAAAACGATTTTTAATATACTGAGATTAAATCGTAGATCTTGTGATAAACAAGGTTCACCTTATGATTTTCAATATATTAAAATTAAATCGTAGATTTTATTATATTATATACACAGTCACTAATATTTTAATATAAAATTTAAATGCAATGTTTTTAAAAATTTGCAGTTCTAACTTTAAGAATTGAAATATCGAAAAACTTAAAGTCGAAAACAGAGAGTGTACACTCTTTAGCTCTTAGGAAGCAACAGCACCCCACTGCTAAAAGCTACGACTCCAGCTTTATAAGTTTATAACAATTTTTTGTCTTTTTTTTTTGCATAATTTTCTACTTAATTTCAAAAAGAACTCTTGGTTTACTCCTGCAGCACAGAAACTTTTATTAAAGAGAAAAGAAAAAAGAACACAAAATTCTTTTTTTTTCTTGAAATCTTGAAAACTTTTTTTAAAATTTTCGTTAAACTACAAAAAAGTAAAATTTTTTGTCATCTATAATTGCATTACAAAAATATAATAGAGACAGCGACAATGTTATAGTAGTGTGTATAGAATGTGTATACGTTGCAAGAAAATAAAGGATTCAACAAAGTTTCGCATGCTATATGATTTACTTTGCTTATATTGTTTTTTTTTTTTTTTTTTTCATTTTTATTGTTTTAGAAACTATAAGTTTATTTCAAAATAATTTGACATTTTCAAGTAAAGTATAAATTTTGTAAGTGTGTTTTAAGTGAAATGAGGTCATTCTTTGAAGGAGTTTTGTTTTTATTCCTTTATTATTTTGTTAATTTAGAGAACATGCGCATTTTTAGATGACGTCATTAATTTAAATATTTGCTTTCCATCATTTCTGAATGCTCTTGCTGTTGAAGTGGTTTTTTTTTTTATATTTATTTCATATTTTTTTTTTAAATGAAGTTTAATGATTTAAAAGCTTAAGGAAGTACACAAATTCAATTTGTCATTTTTTTTTATTTATTATGACAATTTTTTCCTTTTATTATATTAATATTATTTTCTAAAAATGTAGATGTATAGTAAACCGTTATTACAAAAAAGTGTACGTATATATACATACATATTAATTTAAATAGGTAGTATAATTGTGACAATATGTTTGTAAAATACAAAATGATTTATAAAGAGAAACGCAAAAAAAATATACATACTTATGTACAAGAGATTTATTTAAGTTAAATTAACCGTTATTTTTTGGAAGGTTAAATTTACATAAACCATAATCAAACAGTTATTTATGTTGTTTTTTTTTTTACTTAAAATTTTAATATTCACTTCCAAATCAGAATTCTCAGTATTTTCTAATGGATATTTCACTTTTCCAATAAGATTGCTCATTTTTTTCTTCCTTTGACTGAACGTCTCACTTTCAAGAGCAAAGTGAATAAAATTTGTATGCATTTTAGAGAAACAACTGTCATAAAAATATATGACAGTTACTTACTTTATTTCTACTTTTCGAGTAAAATAGTGAGATAAACGATCAGCTTCTAAAAGTACCTAAGCTATGTACGCAAATCTTATATACGAATACTTAAAGTGACAGTTAGTTACTTGGTGATAGATTTTTTTTGGATAATGTACACATAATGTTAAAAGAATATTGATATTATTGAGATTTTTTGCTAAATAATTATACATTTCGTTTATCATTTTCCATTTTTTGACATATTAAGCATCTTTGTAAAACTTTCAGACTAAAATATATTCACGGCTTAAGAGGCATCTTTTTGGTTAGCATTGTAGATACATGTATACCAATTTAGTGGAAAGCTTACCACTAGTTTTGAAATATTAATGAAATAAGACATACATACATTTACATTTTACATATTGATCTACATTTTACTAACTTTTGTACAAAAATATAAAATATGAAACATCAATAGGATTTAAGTAAGTCGGGAATCGAAATGAATTGCAAATCAAATATAATCAATCGCTCGTTCGTTACGACAGTGGCATATGATATATTTCAAAATTTTGAGACAGTCGAATGTCAATGTTAATATATCAGAGTTAAAATATTTTTCTCACTATAGCAATATTTTAAAATGTATTGTAGCTGGCGACAATTTTGTAGCTAAAAAAAAATTTGTGCTTTTGCACAAAAAATTTTTTTAAAATTGCTAGTAGCTATCTATTTTCTTTTATTTAAAACCATCTGGCATTCCTCTCATTATTATTATCTTTTGAAAAGTTAAACTCAAGTGTTTTATGCATCTATTTATAAAATTTTAGTTATTTTTCAATTAAAAATATTTTTTTTTTTAAAAATACTTTGTCAGAGTAGCCTTTGCTCATCATATTTTTTATTTTTCTTTTTAATTCTTGTATTATTGCCTTATATTGATTTATACGAGTTATTTAACAAATTAAATAAAAAGAAGAGACTAATCATTTAAAAAAAAATTGCTGTGCAGAAGATAATTACTAATAAACAGAGAAAGGAAAAAGCAATTTAGAAAATTACCATAAGAATATAATATTTTTTTGACGAAAAATTTTTCAAGAAAACTAAATAAGTATGTATGTATAACTTTGAAATCGTTAATCATTTGTTACGAGTATAAATTTTAATAGAATATTTACTTTAAACTACTTGTATAGGTATTACAATAAGTTTCATACTGTATACAAACATTACTATATATTGAAATTTAAATGCACTCATTAAATACAAATTCAGTTTGTGTGAATTTTTTAAAACTGTTATGGGGGAGATATAATCAAGGATTGATATAATCATTATTCAATCAAGTAGACTTATCAAGAATCGAAATAATCATTATAACAGCAATTGTAGCGTACTCGTATAAGAATATTGTTTGGCGTCACCAGGTGTTTGACAAGTGACAATGATATACGGATGATGTCGTCCAAATTGTTGCAAGTAACAGTAAATATTTGGTGGAATGATAATAGATCAGAACCCGGTTGGGCAGAAATAATGATCATCATTTAGGAATAATGCCGCCAAATATAATTTTAAGAGCGATAGAAGTGATTTAAACAAAGCAAGCATATAAAATATCTGGGGATTTACACCAATTAACCAGTTGACGACATAATAAAGTGGCAATAGTTGCGAAGTAAACTGATGTTAAATATAAAAGATTCAGTGCGTTTCATGAAATATTTTTATTTATTTTTGATCTACTCAATAATGTAGTATGGGGTGCAAGTGTGTCCAGATGCACTCGATATACTGCAAAAACAAGCATTTAGGAAGGATTTGCGCGTATAAGCCTGATGAAGAACTTTCTAAATATACTTAATTAAAAAAAAAAATAAAAGCAGATATCATCAGAAAAAAAGCAGTAAAGGAAGTAAAAATATATAAAATGCAGTGAACCCCGCGAGAAAAATGCTGCAACTTCAAGAATAAATTGAATGTGATTACTAAATATGTGCATAGTACAATATACCCGGAAGAAGTAAAATCGAATAAATCACGAGAACCTAGGAGAATTAAGAATGAGGGTAAATTTTATGATTAAATATCTTAACCTTTTTCTTAATATTGCCCCGTTCAACTCTACATGTTTTCCATTTTTATTCTTTTTTTTTTTTTACTACATTACTTGTAAAATTTTCTTAACAATTTTTTACAAACGTTCCATACATTTTACGTTATACTCAATGTCAAGTAAATTTTCTTGTTAATGGAAAAAAAAAAAAACAAAATATAGGAAAAGAAAAATTTAACAACTTTTTCACATCATTAACTGTAAGGAATATTAAAAAAGATTTGACTATTATAGTGTTTTTTTTTATGCCTTTTAGCAATAATTTAAATGAACATGTTATCAGCTGGCTATTTTAGAATTTTAAAAATTATTTTAAAGTTAACGTACAATGAAAAGCTTTTTTAATATTGTAACAATGTTAATATAAATATATCCATGTACATAGGATATATGTACATATGCCATAGTTAATTATAAGTTGTTGCTAAAATAAGGGTTCTTAATAGTGCCAGCTTTGTCAAACGAACCAATAAGTATCAAAATGAAAAATCATTAGTACCTACGTGTTTTAGATTATATAATGAATTAGCTCAATATTGACTGTTATAGACCCAGAAATTTTCTCAAACAAAATAAAATATTTCTTTCTAATGATTTATTTCAATGATTTTCTCAAATATTTAAAAAATCAAATTAATTTTAAAAGCACAAATTCACAAATTATATATGGAAAATTTTAAATAATTATATAGAAAAATTTAATGTAAATTATAGTAAGAGGTCTAAGAAACAATAAGGACTATTGATATAAGTACGAGTATTATATAAATAAAACAATGTCTTGTATTGAATCCTGTTGTACTTATAATACTAAAAATTATTCTGAGTATAAATTTAAAT